GGTGCGGAACTCGTGTTCTAGTTGCATGGCACGAGCATTTTTGTTGTCGTGAAACAAATCGTGAATAACCTTCCAGAGAGCAGAAGCGGTGGAGACAGAGGAGATAACCAGATCGGAGACTTCGTCAGAGATGGTGGACAGAATCCATCCCTAGAGGAGAGCATCAAGTTGGAGCCATTCATCATCGTCTTCAGAGAGAGGGACGATGGAGCCGTTGATGTAGCCCTGGAGATTGAATCGGCGGACCAGGAGGAGAAAGAGGCGACTCCACTTCTTGTAGTTCGGTTGAGAGAGGCTGAGAAGAACCGGAACATGGAGTTTGACGTTGGAGACCGTCGTGAAAGCAAGATGAGGAGGCTTGGCCGGGGTGACGTTGGTGTTGGAGGTGATCTCGCTGTCGGCCATTGGGGAGAGGAGAGCCGGCGACGAGAGGAGGAGAGGAGGAGAGAAGCTGCTGCCGGCGACGAGAGGGAGAGGCGGCGCTGCTGCCGCTGGAACAGCCGAGAGGGAGAGCCGAGAGGTAGGGTTAGGGTTTGTGATTTTGTTTTTTTTGTTTAATTAGGCTCCGATACCATGAAGAATAATGATTTTCATTAATTGAATATGATGTGGTTACATGTATATATATAAGAGGAATCTCAATCCTAAACATGGTAGGAGAGACACAAGGAAGGAAACCTATACAAATAAGGTAAGGGAATAATACAATATATTAAATATATACAATATATTTAACATTATATTTATGATTTACAAAATGGAAAGTGACACAAATTTTTTATTTTATTAATGAATAGGCGGGAGGTGAAAAGAAAAAAATACTGCATAACAATTTTACCTACAAAAGTTCAAATCTAAATAAATACCATGAGACGGAGATAGTATTTTAGAATAGCATGAATATTTCTTTTTTAAATACATATCTTATCTTTTATTTGAAAAATTAATCGGTAAGAATCTTTTGACCCTTGAACCCCAGGTCACATTAAGACTCGAAAACCCTACACTGTTCTGTTTGTAAAATTGATGGTTCATACCCCCTAAACCTTCCTGCGCCTCCTCCCCAAATCGTCGATTGGTTACAATATTACTGTAACCAATCGGTGATTTAGGAGAGAGGGTGTTGGGTGAGGTGGCAGGTAAGGGGTGGCAGGTAAGGGGCAGGGGTAGGATACAGATGAAAGTTAGGTGGTAGGAACCGTCAATTTTACGAATGGAGTCCTTGGGTCATAATATGACCCGAGGTTCAAGGCTCAAAAAACTATTTTATAAATTAATATAGTGATTTTATATCCTATTTTATAAATATATAGATGCGAACTGTATTTTTTTTTTTAAATTAATACCAATATTGAAATGAAATAATTTTAAAATACCATCAATCAAACGAATCTACCATAAAAACTCAAATGGAACTTTAATTTTTTTTTTGGGGTAGGGCCAAGTCGCCCCATGCGGCCAATAAGTAAGCCATAGCGGGCCTAGCCTGTCTTTTCATGTGATGTGCTTCCACCCAATCCATTTCTTCGCCTTCACCACTCATCCATTAGACCCTCCCCTATCATTCACACCAAATTCAAAGTCAAAATATTAAATTTCTAATAATTCATCTTCAATTTATTACATCAAAATCAAAGTAATGTTTTTATGATATACTTCCTCTGTCACGTTTTAAATCGCCTGTTTTGACTTTTGGGCATATTTAAGGAAAAGAAAAAATAGAGTTGATTTTCTGAAATTGTCAGTACAAATTAGAAGGGATGACGATGAATGAGAGGATAAAGTGGAGAAAAGTGACTTATTCTGGGTAAATTTCACCAATGGTACCTGAACTTTAGCTGGAATTTCGAAGTGGTACCTGAACTTCAAATCCTTTCACAAAAATTTGGCCGTAATGACCGGAAGTTAACCTAGAAACGGGCTAATGGCTCATTAGTGAAAGGATTGTGTAAGTTCAGAGATTTTTGTGAAAGGATTTGAAATTCAGGTACCACTTCGAAATTCCAGCTAAAGTTCAGGTACCATTGGTGAAAATTACCCGACTTATTCTAGAGGTAGTTTAGGTATTTTACTCTTAAAAGTTTACGAAAACAACTAACAGACAACTTATTTTGGGACAGAGAAAAAAAGGCAAACATGCAAGTTAAAATGGGACGGATGTAGTATTATTCTTCTTATTATATCTTATACTTTGAAAATTAAAAATTACAGTAAATCATAAAAAATTTAGCTAAAAAAACAAATACGGAGTAGTATAAGTTTAGAAATATTTAAAACATGTATTACGTAATAATAAATACATGGAAGAACATAAAAAATGGAATACCCGAACTTACAAACAATATTTGAGTTTGAAATACTACAAAACCCATTTTGTAGTTGGAAATGGAGTACAGTTGAAGGATGTACAACCCTAAAATTGAACATGAGTAGTATTATTGGAGATGTTGCACGAACAAATAGAGTTTTAACTTCGTCAGTGGGTGTTGCACAAATTGCAAGAAAGGGGTATTGGAGGATAACACTCCCGACCAGAGTGATCTTGATATGCAATTATGTTAAACATATAATTTTTACAAGTACTAAATATAGGTTTCATCTTTTGTCACCAATATCTGATTAAAGTCTAATTGACCTTTTGTCAGGTGATCGTTCGATCGGTTTTGAGAGACCCTCGCAGACTAAGTTCTTCTTTTTTCTTTAAGTTTTAACTCCAGTCCCCACGAACTTGAACCCACCCAAACAATATATACTCCCTCCGTCGCCCATAGATCTTCCCATTAGCCTTTTTTATTTGTCCCACATAGACCTTCTCATTACCTTTTTTAACATTTAAAATACTACAACTATCACCACTTGCTTTATTTATTGCACCTTTCCCACCTTATTTAATACAACCCACCCATTTTCATTAAGAGTATTTTGGTAAACTTTCACGTTTTTCAATTCTTTTTAAAAACCATAAAAAGTCAAAATGAGAAGATCTTAGGGAGACGGAGGTAGTATTAAAGAGTGGTAAATGAATTTAATACTCCCTATGTCCAAAAAAAACTACTCCCTCCGTTCCTTAAAACTCTTCCGCCCTAAATTTTTGCGCACCTCATTAAACGTTTTTACTCCCACCTAAAATATTTAAAATATACCCAACTATGTAGTTTATTGCGGGTAGAAGTCGTTTTAGGGATATTTTAGACATTTTATGTGGGATAGAAGTATTTTATGGGCTGCACAAAAAATTAAAACGGAAGTATTTTGTGGAACGGATGGAGTATTAATTTCCTTTTTGGGATATCCCAAAATTCTTTTCATTTTAGGCAAATTTTGTGTGGCATAACATCTTTCTATCTCCTCCCATCTCATGTTCTCCTAAATAGGCACCAGAACCGGTAGTTCCAAAAGTAGAACATAAACCGGACTACTAGCGCGCTTACTCTAATCATGAGCAAAATTATTTTTCATTGATGTTGTCAAGAATCGAACTCAAGTATATTCATTAGTATAGCCTCTTGTTGGGCCTTAAATTCATTTTAAATGGATTAAGAAAACGAGAGTTATCCGATATGTTCCATTTGACATGCACCCAAGCATCAATAGGAATGTTTCTCTACTTTTGATGTTTCTTAGTTAAAATTGATTAAATTTGTTCTTTAAATAAAAAAACTAGTATTTTGACCCGTGCCATGCACGGGGCCGAACAAAATTTTTTTCAATTCTTTTTTTCATGTATTATTTTTTGTGGATTAAATAAAATAAATTTCTTACATGATTTTTAATACTATATATACATCAACATCAAAATAGAATAAATAATATTTGAAAAATTGAAAGTATATACAAAACAAAGACTTATTAAAATCCAAATTTTTGAAACACTTCAGAGTATACAACAATTTTGGTATGGTTGCAAGAGTTTCTATTGTCATCTAAAATAAACATTTTTAATTATGTATTTTCTTCACTCGTGAAGGAACAACATAAAATTAATCATAAGTGAATGCTGACTTAGTTAAAATAATCTAACAAAAGATAATGTTTCACCATAACTTTTGTTAATAGTCATAGCAAAACATAAAACTATTGGGAATTGTCTTTTTTGAAACTTTAGGGGGTAGCCTTGGATCATGTGGTACCAAATTTATTCGAGGTATGTAAACCTTTTTCCCGTCTCGATTTCTCGAAACCAC